ACAGAAAACCATTGCCATCCCTGGTAACGTTTAACGCTTAGGCACGATTGACTCGAGCATTTTATTGGTTGAAAGGAAGGTGCAGGTCTTCTCGACCAATCACTGAGGGAATTGGGTGAGAAAACCATTGCCCTCCCTGGTAACTTTTAACGCTCATTTGCAGAATCGTTTTGATTTTTTTTTTTTTTTGTCTGCGTTCCTCAGGCAATGGCGGCTAATATAGAGAGGCAGCGTAATATGGTGCAGCAGAGGCTGGAAGCCAAACGAAGGAAACGAGAAGAGCAACAATACGAAGAAGACATGGCGGCTTCTATAGTGACAATGGCCGAGAAACAGTTCGCTCTCATCCGAGAGAAGACAATGATGAGAAGAGAAGGACAGAAAGAAACGGTGCGTAATTGCGAGATATGTCTAGAAATGCTCGCAGAAAAGAAAATGACAGATTTGACGAATTTTGACAATGTGTGGAAATTTAGTCAAATGTGACGATTCTGACGAAATTTCACCAAGGTTGTTGACAAAATTATAGCAGCAAATAGATCTAATCTGGCTGGAAGGGCCCCAAAAAGTTGACGAATTTGGCGAAAGAGACGATTCTAACGAAATTTCGTCAAATCTGTCGTTTTCGTCACTGCGTGCATTTCTGGACATAAGTGGTTAAAATGTAGCTCAGTTTGTTATCTTCAATCCATCAAAATCTTCTCCACCCTTAGCAATCCATGTGCCTTCCTCGTTCATTATTGCCACTTCTATTTATTTTTATCCTATAGAACTCATACTTTGTAGTCATTTACAATCAGTTTGAATCCTCGCCATCCTTCGCCATCTTTCAAATGTTTGGTATTTTTTCAATTCGCGTTAATCCTACCCACCTCCTAGCTGTCGTTGCTTCTTTCTATGTTAATTATTACCACTTTTATGTTTTTCTCTCTTTCTCACCAAGCTTATATGTTTTATTCTCCATTATGTGAAAGGGAGTTACGTAAGATATTCTTTAGGTGCTCCTTTAGCACATGAAGGCCAGCGCCAATTTCTTAATTGAAGGAAACAAAATGTTAGCACTGATTCATGCTAAAAATCATCGGTTTGCCTCGTTTCTTGTCACTTTCATGTTCTCTATCAGGAATAGCGATGGGGTTTTAGTAGGTAAAAGGATAGAGCTCCAATCTTATCTGTTGGCAAGTCTCATTATTTGTTCGTCAGTGGATAGGTCAATGAAGGGACAGTTTGTAGAATTCATTGTGTTGATAATGGAAATGGGACCGATTGAAGTCCAACTCAGTCGGTAGTCATGCGAGTGATTTCCAAATCGGACGACTCCGAAGCGAGAGTACGCTTCGTCAATTACTGGCACGATTCCAAATCGATTTGGACGACACGAAGTTCTGTTACCAATTAATCATAACCATTACAATTTCCGAGAAATAAGGAATACATTTAGGGAAAATATCTCCGGTAGAGACGATGTATAAAGTAAAACATTCCTACATTTTGGAAGTTCCCCAGTCTTTTTAAGAGAAGTGGTTGTTGCTATGGTTATTGTGATCAATTTTGTGATTGGTGGATTTAGCCGCGCGATTGGACTGTCCGATTACAGGTGTCTGAGGACAGCCAACTGTCCGATTACAACTCTACAGAATAATTACTGAAAAATAAAGCAGCTAATGCAGCAATCATGATTGAGGAAATTGTAATGGTTATGATTAATCGATGTAATTACATCACGCTAACGTAAAATTTTCCCTCGGAAATTATCACTTGTTTTATTTAAACAAAACCATTGAAATACAACTTCAGCTACGCTGCTTTCAACTCGTATGATGCATAAAATCTATAAGTCTGACCTGAGGGCAATTAATCTGTTCCTATGACAGCTAAATGAACGCTTGGCACGTAGACGGGCAGAGCGAGAAAAGAAGAAAGCCGAAGAGGAAGAAGCCAGGAGAAAGGAAGAAGAAGAAGCGAACAGAAAGAAGGCCGAGGAAGAAGCAAAGAAGGCAGAAGAACCAAAACAGGCTCCAGCGGACTATCCATTACCGGTAGGAAAAGAACTACGAGTAACGTAAAGGGAAATTATCCGTACAATATTTGTTTACTGTTTCAGCGGTCAAACGTGGGGCGTGCGCAAATGGATTAATTTTGGCCAACCGCGCATCAATTTCCCGCGCAAACTGTAAAGGAAAAACACAAGAGGAAACCAACCGGTTTCACACAAAATTTGCGTACGTCAAAGAAAAATAAGGATTTCAACCTGCTAAAATGTTATGAATCTTTTAGTTGTTTAGAAAAATGGTATGCATGTTTTCGAAGTAGATGCGCACAAGTGGTTGAAAAAAAAATGGAAATGTTTATAAAAAAGGTAACTCTTTTATTTTGTATGTTTGAATTAGGGTGGCTTTGCTATGAAGCGCGAGAAGACAGTGATAGATGTAGAAGTATCCAAAGAGAAACAGCAAGAAATACTGTCATCTTTGTTACGTGAGCACACCAATGTTGGAATGAAGTTTGAACGAGAGAGAACACGTCAGGAAGAAATGGTATGTTCAGCTCTAACCAACCAGACAACACTACAGATCATTAACGCACTTTATAAAGCTAGCATGGGAATTCTTATTAGCAAGATGCGTTTGCTTAACCAAAAAAAAAAACAAAAACAAAAAACAAAAAGCGCTGGTGGAAAAAGCATGAAGTACGGTAGTTGACGCAACGATAACTAAATTTGGAGAAGTATTGGAAAAACGTTCATGAAGTATTGGACTAAACGTTCATGAAAGTACTTGAAAGTCATGGAGTTCTGCAATTTCAGTTTTCAGTCGCTAAAAGTCGTAAATTTTTGTTGTGATTTGGGTAAAGTCATGGGGTGAAAGAAAAGGATTTCTCAGCAAAACAATTAAGCGAAAGCAATACCAAGAGTTTCATTTTGAACTCTCTTTTGGTCGCAGGTAAAGGTTAGTTTAAAAAAAAATGGGGAAAACGTTATGTTAAGTGGTAGATCGTAATAGTTCAAATATGATCTCTTGATTCGAAAAGTGTGTTGTGATCTAACAAGCATAGCAGGAAAATTTTCCTTTTGACTTCACCAAGTATCTTTTGGTTTTGTACAGCTGAAAGCCCGTAAAGAAAGGAAAAAGTCACGCATTGAACGAAAGCAGGAAGAGGTGGCGACCATTATGGGACTGGGAGAGAGACAGAAGACATTCGTGGAACAACAGAAGAAAGTAAGTTTTCTTACATTCCTTTATTTCTTTATCATAAATGCCCTGATCCATTTACCGCCTTCGCATTTAACCCGAATTTAATGCGAGTTTTCGTCGCTGTAGTTGTTGCATTTACCCATATTTCCATCTTCTGTTTACTTACCTTTGCTATTTCCTTCCATAGGAAGAACGCGAACGTCAAATCACGATGGTTCGCGAGCGAATCGCGCGTGTTCGCTATGAACGAACGATGACAATGCGCGAACCCAAAGATGAGAAAGCGCAAGGTTTTGAGAGTCTGTTGACAGAAGAAGAGAAAGAAGGACTGTCTGAGGAGGAGAGGATGAAACGGATCGCCGCAAAAATGGAGGAGAAATTCAAGAGTGAACAACGCCGTGTGTCAACCGTTTCTGCGGTAGGTTGCGTTAAGTTAAATAAATTTTATTATTTTTGAAAAGAAAGTTTTCTGTGTTCGAGTTTGAGTAAAATTTGTGTTCTTGTTCCAAAAATGAACGTTGCGTACACCTTATCCAAAATGGATAAGGAGATAAAGTGGTACTGATTCTGTGCCATTTTAGAATAACACGTGAGACTGACATGAAAACCTTTTTAAACTGAGTATTAGTTAAGAAGTGAAGTATCCGTTTCACAACTCTTTTGCTTGCTTATTTAAAGGATTTTTCTTGAGGGGGGGGAGAATATCTTCAAACTCACCTTACTCCGCACAAGGCCAACTTTCTTAACACATAAAATAATTAACAAATGGTAAACACCACAGCGTACACTATTGAGTTATGGATGCACGCGGGAGGTTGCTAAGCACGAAAGAAGCGTAAGAGTCGCTCGAGGCGATAGCCGAGAGCGACTCTAGCTTCTTGAGTGCTTAGCAAACCTCCCAAGTGCATCCATAACTCAATAGTGTACGCTGTGGTGTTTACCATTTGTTTTATAACATAACATTAACACATTGTAGCTAAAGAGTTCCCTTTTGTTTAACAAATCTTACGTGACCAGAAAAAAACAAGCGCGCGCGGAAAAATAGTCTTTGCATTTGCTCACGTCACCAGCGTACACCCATGGGAAAATGGGGGACGCTAAATTGACCAATCAGAGCGCGCGCTTTTCTTTGGTTATGTTATAAAATGACATGGTAGCTTACTAGCAGTCTACTTTGATTAACAGCTGGCTCCTCCCAGCCAATCATTTAGCGCCGGCGGCAGCTCAGCCGAGACTTCGGAAGAGGAGGGTCCCCATACGGAACGCTCATCACAGCTCCTGGACGAAAAGAGCCGTAATAAAAAACTGAAGGAACGTATGGCCTCGCGCAAAAGAGAGCGACGCAGATCCGTCGTGCCACCCTCCGGAGAAGAAGGAGGTGCTACGGGTGGAGCTGACGAGTGATGGAGCATAATGCTAACCCTCAAATCAGCCCCTGCACTGGCAGGACCAGTGAAAACTTCGTATTTATTTTTGATATTATTTATTGAGTTCTAGTCTACTTTTCTTAGTCGCCATAGTCAGGTGTTGGCCAGTAGTCGTGGTTGTTATGTAAATAGGATTGATTGGCTCATTTCACACACTTAATAGCAACCTTTCACGGTCATAACGTAAGAAAAAATATTAATTTTCTAGTACAGTCAACACTCCGCTTACGGACAGTCTCATAAGCGGACAGTTCTACTTACAGACACTTTTTTTCAATTCCCGTTTTTGCCTCCCAGTCAAACTCTGTTTTTACATACACTCTCGAAAGCGGACGCGGACACTTTTTAAAGTAAAAAATGGATTTTTCTTTTGTTTACGCTCTCTCGTTAGCGGACACCCCATGCATAGTAATTAACTCTTGGCAATAAAATTTGTGTTTAATTTTCAAATCAACAAAAACTTGACCTTTGACAGAGCAACAGCTTAGTGAGGGAAAGCAAGCTGTCCGTACGTGTTTAACATTAACAAGTGCCCGGACATTTTTTCCAATTTCTGAGGGCGTCCGCTTAGAAGAGGTTTAACTGTACTTGTTTTTCTCGTTTGTAAAGAATGCAGCTTGAATACGATTACGCTGTGCGCTACACGTAAGGAATTATTTTAATAATTGAATACGAAGGCGCGCTATAAAAGGAGCCTTAGGTCCCACTGGACCATTTGTCAATCAACCGTCGTGTGATGTAGAACTCTTAGAGTCAAGTCAGCTTGAGCTACAGCTACTCCAAAGCAGTGAACAGCGGGCGCATTCCTTAAAATTGTTTTATGTCTTCATCACAATACAAGAATTTTTGAGATTTGTATTTCCTTTCTCCAATGGAAACTGTCTTTATTTGTGGCGGTAAATTTGAGATCGAAGTAGGTGGTTCGCGCGTTACCTCATGCCACCATGCTGGTGGAAGTAAGCAATAGATATCTCATCAGCTCCTTTTGTTCGTCTACCAGCATTTGAATTTGACCCGCACACGGCAACGGTGAATGACAAATGAGCCTAGGTCTTCCCAGGGAAGACTTCCTTATATAGCGCGCCTTCGGTAGGTAGGTATTGTAGTTATGATTTTCGCGTTCAAAATCAGTAATTAAAGAAATTGTTTCTTAGGTTGTATTTTTGTAAAACTGCAGAGCGCGAGTAACTTGTTATCAATAGTTAAGGCAAGGAAACGTTTCCCAAAGGAAAAAAAAAAAACAATGACAAGCGCGAAAAAGCGAGTAGCCGATGAGTTCCCGTGTGAAACACAATAATCGATGGCATTATGTAATCGGGCACAGGAAAAAGTGTCAGCTTGGGCATGCACCTGTGATAGAGGAAACATTGATTTCAGGGACATAGCAATAATCAAATTAATAGCCCATTTCCGAATTGCCCTTGGCCTCATTTTCAAAACGAGTCCTGGTTCTCATCCTTTCATATGATAATAAGTTTTCATTTACATGCAAATTAAACTCATTTTCATAAGAATGGTTGAGCACCAGGCCTCGTTTTGAAAATGAGGCTAAGGGTAATTCGGAAATGGGCTATTGGGTAAATCGTTAAAGTTTGCGACTATTTTTTCTAAATAAAACCCAGAGCGCTCCAAAAATTCGGACCAAAACTTGTCAGATTACATTGTCAGATTACATTGCATCAAAGATTACCCCATCTAAGTGCAGACATACAGGAATCACCACATTCATAAGGATAACTTTTATTTAGACACTATCTTACGGATCTCTCGCGTTGAAACAATTTTTTAAAGTCATTCATTTAAAGAGTTCGTAAAAAAAAAAAGTGACAAAAGTCTTTTCCAAGAGTCTTTTCTAATCAACCGGTCTGTTGTCGAATCGAACTTCGACAAATGGTCGAACTGCAAGTCCCAGTCCCCCTGCTGTCGTCTTTGAAATGGCAAATAGTGGTGCGACATCACGCGCTGACTCGTCCTCAACTGTCTCCAAAACCGTGCGGCGCTAGAGAAGGAAAGGAAAGGGTGACGGTTTTCTCTTGCCCATCGCATTCACATCCCATCTAACCCGCGTTGGATGTCCTATTTTGGAGACTGGGGACGAACTAACCACGAAACTGTTCGTCGACTTTAATGGCGTTGTTTCGCGAGGAAAACTTTGGGATCTGAACAATTTTTGGGAAAGTATTTCGATGGAAACTGACTGACTGAAAACGAACCGTTTGCATGAAGACTCGGTCCCGGCTGACCGAAGGTTGGATGACGCTTTCCATGGGATAAATCTCTGTCCAGTGGATAGAGAGTAGGTTTGTCAACACATATCTGCTGGATAGCGTTTTATCCGTTGGATAGCGTCATCCGCCGCCCTTTGAACGACTTGGCCTTGGAGTTAAACTCTCTTCGAAGTCAGGAAAACGCGTGCAGTTTTCATTTCAACTGAGGTATATCTTTTTTTTCCACTTGTGATTTTCCGCCAGGTTTCCCTATTCCGTAATCTCTTGGACCTTCTTAAACATACCGTGCTCTTGACAACGCTTCTCTTAAGAATAAAAACTTATGACCTTGTTTTTTTTTTTCTTTTTCATTTGGTCGACCACTTAAGTCCGTAATGGCTTGTGGAATTCATGCACGTGATCTGAGTAGCTCAGACACGTGGCTCTTAACCACGCCATCGTTCGTGCGTGTAGGTGGCTTCAAGTCTCTCAATGGAGATTAGCATTGCGGACTTTGTCTTGTTATGACAAAAATTTACGAGGTCCTTTCTCAACCTTCCGTTTCAGAGGCCAGAATTTCCTCTATGCCCTTGTCGTCCGCGTTTTCCCTCGGAGACCTCCCCCGGGTTTGGTGCACTCTGACACATTCTTCTGTCAGCAGGACCACGAAGTTTATGTCTATGATGCTGAAGCCAAGGATGTTGTAAAACCTCCTCCAAACTGGGTCTGTACGATGGGTGCTTCGTTAGGAGACATCGTAACATATCCTGCAGGTCTGCATAAAAGGAAATACTAATGTGAATCTCGGTGAAAGGGGTGGAGCGAGGGGGGGGGGGAGGACGGGAGAAGGAGATAGCAGACCCCTTTAAACCCCTCATATACCGAAAATGCACTGATAATCCCCACGCTCTATAAAAATACTCTCTATCAGCCATAACCACCAAATAAAAACCTTTAGGTAATACTTGTGTTGGTATACATTTCTTCTAGTTCTGCTTCTGCTCTCTCTTTGATAGGCACCCACCCCTCTATTTATATTATACCCCCTCTAATGAGCTCCCTTTCCAATGGGTATCCTCTCTAATAACCCTCTGTCTGTTGATGCCCCCTCCAAGTCCTCTCTCCGACGAGCCCCTCTATTATAGGCTCTCCCTTATTTTTCTTCTCCGATGAGCCTCTTTCATAAACTCCAACAATACTTTCTATCAATCTTCTCTGATAAGCCCTTCTGATGTGCCCACCTTTCCGATAAGCCCCTATCTACAAGCTTTTGAAATTGAGCAACGTCAGACGAAAACCAATAAATTTCATTTGGCTCTGAGAGGCCATAGGCCTCCCTTAACCTTAAAAACCCAACTTCCCCACCCCACCCCCCTCCCTCGCCAATCTTTCGAGAAATCAATAAATCACATCCGGGGTTATAAGGTTATTTACGTTAACCTTAATCTCCAAGAATCTCCAAGAATCTCTTTCTCTTTACACCGATAAGATTTCCACCAATAATCAGCCATGTTTAGATTATTTTTTTGGGCGCAATCTCTCACCTTTACTAACACCATCCGGGAAATTCAACTCTCCTCTTACAATCTCTATTTCGTTTGAAAAAGGCACGTCTCCCACGATCATATTGTGCAGCAGTATTCCCAGTGACCACACAGTGGCTGGACGTGCGTAATAACGATGAAAACGGAACCACTCCGGGGGACAATAGGCTCGAGTTCCTGGAGGGAAAACACAAGCTCACGACTTCATTTTTAGGTTTGCTATACAACTTTAATGTTATCTAATAAGTGGAGTTCTTAATCATCGGTAATGACCTCTTAGTTAATAATTAACTCGTTAATGCTGGCATCTGGCTAGCGAAGAAACTCTCGTATGTGAAGACTTTCCGAACGCATTTAGTGTTTGTGGCTTGGACTGGCTGCCAACGGGACTATGCTTTTAGAAATTAATTTCAAGGGCTTCAGAGAACAGAATATCATCAAAGTGTACAAAGAGGTTGAGCTGTAATATCTAAAATGTGTCCGTTACAAAAGATTGGTCTCTGCGGAACGCAGGATGGAGACAGGAGAGATTGTTCAGAAAAATTCAGTGATCTCCCTTTAATCATAACTTTCAACTGTAGATGTTTCCTTTCTCCTATTCTTGAACCGGTTACTTAATTTTACTTCGCTTTTTAAAATTTGAAGTGCTCGGACGATGTGTTTACCGAATTAAGCTTTTCGAAAAGTCAAGTTCGTTTGAATACCTTAAGACAAAAGGTGTAGTTAGAAAAAGTTTGCACGTGCATTATGTTATTTTGTTCCTTTCGTAAGGTAGAATATGAATAAATTTTCCTTTTTGTGACGAATTTTAGTCGTACTGTCGGGTAACTGAACACTGTGGTGTTATAAAAGTGTCGACCGACCGTCGACCGAGTGTTTTCCGAGTGCCGACCGACATATCGGTCGAGTATCGACCGACTCTCGACCGATGTATCGACAGATATACCGGTCGAGAGTACTCACAGTAAACATGATCCAAAAAGTTTAGCAGAGTGTAGTTCAATTTCGAGCGAAACACTAAGCCGATTTGACAACATCTAATTGTTGACTGGGTGGGAGGGCCAAACGTAAGAATTCTTGGCTCGAGGTCATGAAGTACAGACCAAGCGCACTGAAGTCTTTTCGTCAAGAACGAGAGCCAAATGTTTTCGCCATCCGTCGTCAAGTAATCTTACATTTGACTGCGGAACTTTCTTGAGCCAAGTAATTTTTTCTGGCCGTGCGCGCCCGCAGGGCATGTCATAAATAGTTCAAGTGTAAAGAAGTGTTAATAACCCAGTTAGTTGTTGCGATCAGCGCGCTCTCATGAAAACCTTATAAAAGCCTAGTTTTCACGTAGGTGTTTCAGTTGGATTGTTTCGGCAAACTTTTGGAGCGATAAAAATCAAAGCTTGCAACCTACCGGTACCTTTTCTAGGGTGAACAAATCGACAGTGGCTTAGTGTGGTCTGTACTCTTATCGACAACGATATTCTTTATCACAGCGGTCTAAAATGTTGTGAACTCACGAAGCGCAGCCGAGTGAGTCCGCAACAAATATACCACCATATCGACATCAAACAAAACGATTCTTTCAGTGCTTGACACGTTGCGTGACACATTTACGTGAGCAGTGCTCTCTGTACTCTTATCGACAACAACAAATTGGCCAATCAAATTGCGACATTACTGCCAACTGTGATAAAAAAAAGCTTTCTCAGTAAGTTACGAAGTGCACAACTTCGCTGATTGAATGTGATTACGTTAACCAGTCATAGCAATAATGGAAAGTGGACTTTTCAAAGTTTTCAAATACTGACCTTCGTAGTCTGTGTACAAAGTGTTTTCAAGCACTGTCCCGGAACCAAAATCAATCAATTTCACTTGACCAGTGATAGAATCAAGCAAAATATTTTCATCTTTGATATCGCGATGGAAGATTCCTTTTGCTTCACAGTACATCACTGCCTCGACTACCTGACGAAAAATGTTCCTCGCTTCATCTTCGTCCAATCGTCGCTTTTCTGTGATGTAATCGAAAAGATCCTTGTGATACTTGGGTCTTTCTAGCACCATTACGTATGCCTGCGCATGCTCGAAGTAGTCGAGAAGTTTTATTATGTTTGGGTGATCGAGATATCGATGAAGATGGACTTCCATTGGCACCGGAACTTCACTTTCCTAGGGAAAAAAGTTGAAAACAACTTCAGTTTTGCATCATACACCAGGCTAAGATATCCTGATGAATTATTCAGTGAAAAAACTCAAGATACTAAATGCTTGTACAAACCGATTTTTTTTTTTTTTGCAATTGCGATCAATTCCGCACCGGTACACAAAGGGGGTGGCTTCCTGCCTGGCCCCCCCTTCTATTTTTTTTCGGGGAACCTCCGTTGCTCCTCCACCTACGAAAACTTGCACCTTTTTTAACTACGACGAACCCCATCTACCTCAACGATCTCCACACCACACCGAAATGAGCGGGGGGCTGTGTCCCGACATCCCCCGCCATTTTAGTACGGGGGACGGGGGGGGGAGCTAGACTCCCCACCGACGTTCCCAGCCTTCCTATACTGTGTTACTCCCCTCTTGTGAAGTCTTGTACTTTTTTATCACAATGTTTGGATCAAAATTTAAAAATCTACAGACCTCATCAAAAGAGTAGACATTGCTCTTAGGAATGACCTTGATTGCAACCTAAGAAAAAACGAACGAACGCAGTAATGATACAAACCATTTTATATCCAAACCAGCTTCACACAACTGCAACAATGTTCGACATTTTTAAATATTATTTTAACAGGACGGAAATTTTGTTATCATCTTGCCTAAGCTTTGGTGTAACTTTCATATGATCTGCGATTTGCATTTTCAACGAAATTTCAAGCAAAATTTGAGAGCCACTGGTTTATCAGCGCAAGCTGTTATGTGTATACCCTCTTTAAATAAAGTCGATTATTATTATTAAGGAGGCCTATATTGTTTGTACATAGATACGCCTCAGTGTAGCAAAAGTGCCGCTTTCTTGTCCATTTCACCAGACAGGGAAAAATCCATCTGTTGTGATAATTAAAACAGTTTGAGGAAAACATGTATATTGCAAATGGACAGGCCTAAGAAATTATAAATTGATCTCTTGGCAGGCCCAAAAATGGTAAAGATGTATAAGTGAACGATGCCTGAAATAAAAACTACCAGAAACATTTAATTGAAATGTACTGTCAATAGTAAGGTTCAAATAAGCCTTGCAACTGCTCTTTCTTCTCTGATGGAAATAGATTTTTAAAATTCCGAGCCTTTTGCGAACCATGGAATGTTCAGGGAAGTTCTATGCAAAATTACATCGGCAACAACTTCTTTAAAAAAGTTCGTAAAAATAACTGTTTATTGGTAAAGAAGATTTAGTGTTTTCTCTGTTACGTAACTTTCACAAACGTGTTACTCTCTTATTATTTGAGTACCTGTCTCTTTAAAAAATGACTCTTCATATCAAAATGATGTTATCATTGGGAAGTTTTCGTAACCTTAAGTTTGGGAAATTCGTAGATAGACCAATTAAGAGAATGTTAGCTCTTTATAGATAGAATCAGAAGAACGTCATTTATGTAAAAATTTATCGACGATATACTTAAAAAAACTGATGAACTGGAGCGACATAATTATTCTGCATGAAGATCCTCTAACAATGTAGCATTTCTGGCATTTTACTGATTCAGAAAAAAAATAAATGTCAATGTATCATGAAAAAAAAATTTAAAGAAACTAAAAAAATATAAGAATTGAAAACCAAGTCAATAATTTAGCCATGATAAACGAGCTACATTAACTAAAATATATTTAAGAGTGTTAAATTAAAAGCCCTCTTCTTAAGGATAGGTTTTATTTTCAAAATGTTTGGGTTTGTCGAAAGGTGGCAGATGAAAACTCTCCAGGTGAGGCAAAACCGGTTTTGAAAAGTTCAAATATTGATGTTAAGTTGTTCAAAATAAAATTCAATTTTACCATTATGTCCGGCACTATTGAGAACAATCTTATTCTTTCCAAAAAAAACAATTTAATCCATTACCCTGAACTTGATGTAAAATGATTTGTTTCAATACAGAACATGTTTATTTTCCTATTCTCTTCGCTAAATTCGCAGTTCAGTTTACTTCAGCTTGAGCTGCGAAATCTTTACTTTCCCGAAAAACTTAAGGTTTTCCTCACTTTTCTCAATCTAAAATATTCATGTAAAAGTCTTGTTATGCTAATTTAACGTCTTATCACAAAGCTTCGTGTTATGGTTTAGATAATGGCTTTCGACGCCCAGGGTGATACGATTCTACCAGGTGATTGCTCACTGTGCAAGATAATCGCCACGCGGACCAGTGGTGCGGGCTGATCTCAATAATTATTTTCAGTTTCATCTGATATGCCATTTTACTCCAGAAAATAAAGTCGTGCATGCATGGGTTGCTGGTTCTCTGAGCCCAGACATGAATAAAAAAGCCGCTTGAAGTTAAACTCTTAACAGCTGCCCGGGGTTAATCCTTCCTTCAGACATCCGCTAATTGCTCAAAGATCAGGAACTTTCGCCGCCAAAGAACTCGGCTTTATTGTATTTCGATGACAGCTTGAAGAATTTTAATACAAAAATCCTGCCGTATATTGTTCTTTCGTACTAAACATCTTTTCTGCTCAATCACATTTTGGTAAAACCCGGCAAATTTTGCATGAATATTAAAAACTGAAAACAAAAAGTTGGAAAACGAAGCCAAGGGCCTGTTAATTTGCAACAAATAAACCTGTTGATGAGATGGGTTTATGAAAAAATACTATGAAATGTACGTGGCCATTACATGGTTTCGAAGTGCCACTTGTCATATAGCTGGGAGAAAAAACTTAAGCGATCGATAGAACCCAGCGATAAAAGATAAAATGAAATGGAATAAACTGTGGGAAAATTCTTAATACTGCCCATGTAAACCTCAGACACGAAGGTTTAAATTAGAACGTTTGATCATCATCACTTGGAACATTTGATCAGAACACACGATCTGAAATTTTGATCTGCACATTTAATTGGGTTACTCAGTAACTATTACGATCTTTAAAATGGAATCATGTCGTCTTTTGTCGAGTGTATGTAAGGTTCGTGTTTTGTTGTTGTTTTTGTTTTTTTGTTTTTTTACACCATTTCACTGTTAGTAATTACCACTATCTTAGATTCGATTCCCAATCTAGCATCTCTTTCCCATGCAAAAAGTTAGTTGCGAATCAGGAAAAGACAGAGTAAAGAAAAGGAAATCACGTACTGGCAAGCCATCCCGAACCCTTCTTCCAGAATAAACTACAGCAAATCCTCCTTGGCCAAGAAGATGGAGTAACTCATAAGTCTCGTTGAACTGCTGCTCGACTGTAAATAATAAAACTCCTGTTTAAATCTCACTTTGATTTTCGACTTAACATGACGAAAAGTAAAAAACGCTTGTGAAATGAATGTACCTTTGTCTTCGTCACTTGAAGCAGATTTCTGAGGTGCACGCGTCATTCGACAAGGGCTTCCTACCGCGTCAGTTTTTACCGGTAAGTTGCTGATTTCTTCGGCGCCTCCACCTTTTTTCTTTCGCATTTTCGCCACTTTGTTCGCAGATCTCTTTGCTGTGCGGCAAATGACGGTAAGAAGCGAAGAAAACCGCTTGGCAGTGTCGCTCATAATTCCGTTCAGCCTGTCGTGTTCCGCAGATTCAGGATCATCTACATCGTCGCTGGTGATATTTTCACCTTCCGCGACCTGTACATGACATTAAAAGCACACACAAACAAAAGAATTAAACCTCAAAACGTCAACGTCGGTTGCAAGTGTGACATGACTATATTTCAGTATTTGTTCTGTCCACTAAACATCGGCTAAACTAACAAAACCCACTGAAGTCACTGACCACGCTTTCTCAGCCAATAGAATCCTCGAATGCACACACTCTAATTTGCTATAGCCATCACTGACACATTCTTTATAATGTCAAAAACGACATTTTTTACAATGAATTTGGACTGCTCACCGCAAACAGCGACCGCCCGTCTATGATCCTTTGTTCGGTGAGCACCCTGATGTACGTTATCGGATATTCTTCAAAAATGAGAAAACAGTGTGATATGGGTTTCCAAAATTAAAAGCTGAGTTTTAATCGCCCAAGCGATGACATTTGACGTGCTTTCTGCCACGACGTGATATTTCTTTCACTGGATATTAAAAATACCAGACCACAGCTGACTTTTTCTCCTTCATGGTTGCGTTTACGCGAGAATTCTCTGAATAATTTACGCCAGTGTCATCCGGTAAAATATTTAAGCTAAGTCGTAAGAGTGACAGCTGGAAACAGAGAACAAGAGTGGCGCCTCTTTGGGATTGGTCGGTATTTTTGATAAAACCCACTTTAATCACTTGGGTCTCTTCATCATACAATGGCGCGCCATAAGCTTATATTTTATTTCCGTTTTTCCCAAAAGGGAGAAGAAAAATAAAAAATATGTCTTTATTTGGTTAGAAAAGGTTCTCATCAAAGTTATCTTTCGGCTCGAAAATCTCATCTTTCATTTTCTCTTTTTCAAGTCGATCTAAACTAAGAACGAAATAATTTCATTAAAGATATCTTGAGGTCGCATTCGAACCCCAGTCGATACATGGAAAAAAGGAAAAAAAATTCAAAACAATGTTTTTTTTATCCGATTCCTAAAGACGATTTTTTATCTGCACTATCGGTTTGAGAATCATAATCAGATAGCGATATCTTCTGTGATCTCCTGAGTTTACAAAACATTTTAGCTCGCTTGACATTTATCAAATAGATTTTTGTATTATGCAGCGCAAAATCACAACAACGTTTGACAGAACTCTTTTCATTACGAATGCTCTCAAGACAAGCCTTCGGGCTAAAAAAAAAAAATAATGATAATAAGCTTCACACAGACCAGAATCTTTCTATTATGAAAAAAATATGGAATTTGATAAGCCCACTTACACAAAGGGCTGTGTAGGATGTACCCCCGACCAGACAAGACTAAAAGAATGTTAAAAGAACGCCATATCATATTCGATGTTTCGTCTACGTGGTTTTCAAACTTTGACACTGATATCGTCTAAGACAAGGCCTTCGTCTCTGAGGACATTTACAAGAGGCTACATGCACGTGATCTTGTTTTTTTTTTCACACAGCATTTTGGACAAGCAAATAAAATCCCTTTTCTTCTATTGCGTTAAATTTTTTTGGGCATTCGTCGATGTTTGGGTATCGTAGAACTGTATGGAAGTTTGTGATTACGACAAATGAAGAAGTTATTTACAAAAGCTACAAACACAATCAAGTAAATTCGTTTGAAATGAACCGGCAAGCACTGAGACTTTCTACCGACCGAAGCCAAACTACGCCCTGTGTTTGTTCCCTCTCAAGTTTGCCCAATTTACAGTTAGGCTTTTTTTTTTACCTCATTGTAAGACCCGTCGAGATCTTTGTCCATGTCTCTCGATTTTCGACTTGATGTTAAGACTTCTGGAGACATCGGAGAAGGTCGGCTGGATCTTGCCATAACAACACATAGAAATTTAACCTAGCTTCATCGTATTCTTTCAAACCCACCGGAGCTTTCGTGTTCTTTTGCGGCCTACGAGCGAACTAAAAACTGAATTCACACATGCGCGGGCGACTTGTGACAATTCTGATCAGAATTTTAAAAAGACTGTTGATTTTGTTTCACTCCAACAAACACCAATCACATAAGCCAGACCTTGATATCGAATCGCCACTTATAAATTAGCGATGCCTTACCTTTTATCATGAGTATGATTATTTCATGGCTAACTAAGATTCATTTAGTGGTGAAAAAAAAAATTGAAAATGGCATGCATTTTCAATTCGTTGCAAAATGTCAGGCGACATAACAAAAGCCTTTTACTGCCATGGCGCTCGTCTGTTAATCATTTTAATGGTTCTCTTTGTTGTGTTTTCGTTATAAAAAATGGATTCACATTTTCGTTAAGATTCCTGTCGATTTATGCAAAGAAAATCGTATTATTTTATTTATTTTCATGTCGGTAGACAATTCAAATCCTTAATGTTTTGACGTCAAAGAAATTTCCAGACCACGAAGTAAAAAACTAGATGAATGAATAAATAAGAAAGAATAACTATAAACATTGAAAAATCCGTAGAACTCAAACATCTTTGTCGAATTTCTGAAACAGATGAAAGTGAAATGACTATTCGAGACTCATTTTTTACAAAAGGAAATTTTGCCAAGTTAATGCAAAACTCTTTTTCTCAAATTGCTTAACAATGTAAAATAATTGAGCCTTGATGAAAACTAAGATGAATTAATCCAAATCACTTAGAAAGGCGATCTTTCTTTAAATAAAAAAGTAAGTCGTTTGTATATTACCGACAAAATATCAGAACACTTTTCTTACAATTACAGCATGAATGAAATCTTTTAACAGACCGCGGTAAATATTATACTGTTCAACCAAACAAACGCTTATAAGTTTTCGTTTAGTTCTTTAAGTGACATTTCTTCTCGTATGCAAATATGCTCGATTATTGTGGACGAAAGATAAATAACACTTAACGGATCACGCAATCATTAACCGTAGTGAGCCTGGCTTTTGACATTATATCTTGGCCACGTTTCAACGAATATCATGAAACCGTTTCATTTTGTCTCCCGCACTGATCCTAGCCTAATAGTGATATACAAGCCCTTGTTAACTGTATGAAGAAAAAAGTCATTCTTATAACAGTACGTATTTTTTTATATACTAGCCAGTTTTGCAAAGTTTACGTCAAAACATCCTCAGTGCTTGGTTAATGTATGACTGTGACGAGCTCAGAATATTTAATTCACATTCGTGGAAAACATTTAGAACGTGATAACGTGGTCTGACTGGCATCCTGTAAAAATCGTATAGAATATCCCAACATGGTCCCCGACGGGATCCCGATGGGCCCGGGCGGAATATCCCTGCATAGAAGGGGTAAGATTCCATAGAAATTTGGTTTAATATCCTTGGCGTGGTCCCGAACTGGATCCTTGTAAATTCGGGCGAAGTATTCCGGCTTGGCTCCGAACGGGATACATACATACAAACATACATGCATACATACATACATGCATGCATACATACATACATACATACATACATACATACATACATGCA